TCAGCAGCAACCACGTGCAAAACTGTTATTTGGGGAAACATTTATGGGTCTCTGGCAAGATTGTAACTTGTTTAACAAAGAATTTAGTCCTCAGTGACACCATCATCACCGCCACTGCTGCAGATACATCTTGCTCATTAGCAACTCCATCCTGACAAACATTTAGTTTGTTCACCCTAGTCATGCAAAAGTCACTGTTCTTAACGACCCTGAAGGAGCCAAGATACCACAGACGCTTCCAACCATAAATTTTCTTATCATTTGTTGGTTATAAAAATTTCCAGTTTCTATGGTTACTCTATAATCACAATAAATTATGAGGCGTTTCTGGCCTTTGTTCTGTTATGAGGAATTCCCTCTCACCATCATGACCGGGCGCCGACACGGAGGGAGGTAAGAATGCATAGTGAGCTCTCCCATCGTCCGTCCTCTGTCGAGGCCACTTTTTTTTTCCCCCACCTACTGACCCTGTGCTGTCACGGTCTCCGTTTCACCCTTAGCTTCAGCAGGGGCCTTGCCACCAACTGCTTTGTTGGAGTAATCTCGCTCTCCAAAAATAGTGCTTCCAATCCTGACGTTTGTGGATCCAACCTCTATCTACAAAGAGACAGAAAGGAGGAGATCAGGGCCGGGCTGCCCATGCCATCCACAACCAACCTCCACGCTCCCCGTGTCCCAGAAGGACGTACCCACCACCCGCAGCTACAGCTACAGTCTGTTTTCATCCCCAGAACTCTATCCCAGGACCAGGAGAGCTGTTTTTTCATGGAACAGCATCGTCTCCAGCCAAGGGAAGGTCTAAGAGGCCCATCTGGGTGACACCTGGGCTGGACTTTGGGTACCAGCTGGTGGTGGTACGTTTGGTTCCTGAAAGAAGGGGTGGCAGAAGGAGAGCAGACTCACTGCGTGCTGGAAGTCTGTGGACATGCCCATGCTCAGCTCCACCTTCTCGATGGGGAGATTCAGCTTTTCACACACTTCCTGCCGCAAAGACAGCAGCATCTGGAAGGGAGGAGGAAAGGAGAGAGGATGACACACCTGACAGCCACGCCAGCGCCGTTTCAGGGCTTCACAGATCACGATTTCTGCCTTTCTTTGAAGCCTCCTTCCCACAGAATGTGCCATTCCCACCCTTCCTGCTGAAGCTCACTCTGCAGCACCGTGACAGCGCCTGGAGACTGCCTGTTACAGGTGATGTTACTGACAACACACGTACTTACAAGTCTACACATCTCCTGAAGACATCCAATTACCACACCAGCCTGACAGAGTCAGCTCTGCCTGGTGCAGGCCTGTGCTGAAACCTCAGCTGAAGACAGGACCAGAGGATCCCAAACAGTAATTGCTGCACGAGGTGCCCCTGCCAATGTCCTGGCTACAGCTTCAGAGAAAGGGTGGGATCACATATCTCTGGGCCCCTGGCTGCTGCAGAAATCACCCTAAAATCAGCATTTATTCCGACATTTCAGAGGTCTGTACTGTTCTCAACAGGGTGTTTCTATTGACAATCTACAGTCAGGCTTACAGCCCGGCTGGGACAGACAACAGACCATAACGGGAAGCCAGCCCAACAGTTCACATTTTCTTCCAGAAAAACCTTACCTGGAAGTCAGGGTTTGGCCCCTTACTAAGGTCATGCCCGACGCTGCCGATGGTCATCAGCCCCACAAACTCCAGGCTGGGACACTTGTTGATGACGTGCTCCACAGCAGCCGTGGTGTCTCCGGGAGGAAGCCCGTGTTTACCTGGCAAGAAGTGGGGAGATTTGTGCCAAGCCCTGCCAGAGACCTCCCCTCCCCACAGCCAGGCAGGAGCCAACAGATGAGCAAGTTTTTTCTTAGTTTAGAGAAATTCTTTAAGAGCACAAACCAACCCATCCCATTCAGGTTGTTTCCACCAAGTCAGCAGGACAAACCTGCATCAGGAAAAAAACCCCACTTACTGTCTTCTCCACTTGTGTTAACTTGCACCATGACCTTCAGCTTCTGAGATGATCCTTTTTTCTGCCACGAGCTGTTGACTCTGTCTGCCAGTTTGACAGAATCCACCGTTTCCAACATGAACAGGTTTGGGACACCTGGGGAGAAAACACAGACTGAGGCCAAGTTTGCTGGCACACAAATTTTTGTACCCACAGCTCAGCCCCAGAGACAGGCACTGGTGAGCTCATGTACACGAGGCTGTTATTATTTGAACATCAGAAAACTATTGCCCACACAGTCACTGCACAGAAAATGAAACAGGGTTTACCAATCAACTTGTTGACGTTATTTTTCTGCAGATGGCCAATAAAATGCCACTTAATCTCTGGACAGGAGGACAGAATCTGAAAGCAGAGAGGAACAGTCAGGCTTGAACAACAATTCCCTCTTCCCCCACACACTGCTTAAGTCCTGGTTTGCCCACAAACAAAATACCAGAAACACAATCTTCTTTTTTTGTTTACCCTGAAAGACACAGCTCGGGCAGTGCTCGTGGTGTGGACTGAGATTGCTTCACTGCCTGGGGAGGAACAGGGCTGTGGCTGCAGAGCAGTACTTGGTGAGTAGGGAAAGCAAAGCTCTTTTGCAACTGAACAATCATAAAATGATATTTTCCCCAAACTGAGTGCTACCTTTTTTTTTTTTTTAAATGAGGACTGTGCATCTCCGACAGCAGAAAGCACAAAAGGCAAAGTGCTGTTCAGACAAATACTCTATGACTAAGGCGTGCGTATTCACAGACTCCTCTAGAGCCAGCAAGGCAAGGAGGGGGAACGGGGCAGAGGCAATGAGCTAAGAATAACCCCACCATTTATCTGAAAGGACAAGGATCAAACAGCCTCCATCGCCAAATCCCTAACGAAAATAAAGGATTTTCCTGAACAGCTCTCAGGACACAGCTACACGAGGAGAGAGAATGGATAAGGAACTGTGTACTTACTCTGGAGTCCGATGCCTTTTCCAGCAACTCTTGAACCTAGGAAAATTCAAGACAAGTTCTCGTTAAAACCACACCAGACGTGCCTGCACCGAAAGAACGGTCTCTCCGTTCCCAGGACCAACATGTGCCTCATAAATCCAAGCCCAGGAGCCTGATGCTGTAACCAAGCCCAGCTCCCCAGGCACTGGGCTGCCCAGCACCTGCCTTTGGCGGGGGGACCCACTGGCAGCCCCGGGGGGCACAGCCAACTCACGTAGTTCTCCCCGAAGCTGCGCTGCCCGTGGCTGTAGGCCTCCATCACCATCTCTGCCGGCTTCGTCTTGCTGACGGCCACCAGCCGGGGCTGCACGGCCGGGAGCCCCTGCAGAAGCACCCGAGGGTGAAGGAGACGCTCAGAGGAGGCTCCAACCTGCCCCACGCTCTCCCCAGCGTCCCACAACACCCCCAAACCCCACCTCAGGTCACCCCACAGCCTGAGGCTGCCACGGGAGGGGGTCAGGGCAGCCTCCACAGGGATGGGGGGGCCTGTCCTCATGGGGGGGGCTGGCTCTAGAGGGTGAGGCCTATCTCTAAGAACGATGACAGCGTCCTGGATGCTTCGCTGGGGGGAAACAGACACCCGCCTGCACGGTGGGCCCGTCTCTGTGGTGCCGGAGGGCCTGCCCTCACGATGCGGGGCGCGTCTCTATGGAGACGGAGGACCTGCCGCCATGGCGAGCAGGCCTACCCCGGCGGGGTAAGGGCTCCCTCTCTCCCGCCGCGACCCCGGGTCCCTCCACCGTGACCTCGGCCCCGCCGCTCCTCACCTGCGGCCTCCTCGCCGCCGCCTGCTGCACCTGCTCGATGACGGCCCGCAGCGCCGGTCCCAGCCCGTCCCCGGCGGCCATGCCGGCTCTCCACATCCCCGGGCGGCCCCGCCGCCTTCACTTCCGCCACACACAAACGCGCGCGAGAGCGACGCTCCTCCCCGCCGGCCAATGGGATCGCTCCGCCGCGCACCACCGACCAATGGCAGTGGCGGGGCGGGGCCCCGGGGGGGGGGGGGGGGGGAGGGGGTGGCGGCGCCATGTTGGTAAGGTCGGCGGGCGCCATGGCGGACAGCGTAGAGGGCAGAGAGGAGGCCTGGCCGCTGAGACCGGGACCGGCCCCGCTCCCCGAGGGGCCTGGGGCTCGCTGCCGGGCTCCACGGGCTCCTGAGGGGAAAGGGTGGGCCGCGGGGCCTGGCTGGGGCTGCCTGCCCTCGCTGGGCTGCAAGGAAAGCGTCTGCAGAAACCTTTGGCCCTCACGACGGGAGAAAAAACCCAGAGAAAACCCAGCAGCCTCCCTGGGCAAGAAAACCCATAAACCACCCTCTCAAAAAAAAAAAAAAAAAAAAAAAAAAAAATCCAAAAAAAAAAATATAAAAAGGGGGGGAAAAAAAAAAAATCAAAAACCCAGGATTAAAC